CAGTGTACCACTTTAGGGGTATAATATACAAAAAAAGGGACAAAAAAAATTTTTCCGGACTTATATCAAAAAATTTTTTCGGAAATACGCTTTTTTTAAACAAAATATTGCAAATTTGGCCCCTTATACCTAAATTTTCAAAAAATAACCTAAATTTTTCCCTAATTTTCAAATTTTCTGGGGGGGCTGAGCCCCCCCACTTTTACTTCTGGGGGGGCTTTAGCCCCCCTAGCTCCCCCCCTGTTCCGCCGCCCCTGGTTATGAGATCAGTTGTTCCTTCCAAGCCATGCACTGATCTCATAATTTACTGGATAGACCGTATCAAAACTGAATTTGAGAGAGACTTGGAACAAGTCTAGTTCATGATAACCGCGACGTCATCCTCGGTCCCAGGGCCTCACGGCTGACACTGCGTTGCCGGAGGCCCTGGCGAAAACCAAAACGAGAAGTGATTTGATTGGTCGCATGAAAACAATGGAATGCGGAAATTGAACATGAAATTACTCATTAATTTACTAATAAATATGGCTGACTAAAGGAGTACATTGGAGTGTATTTATAATTCTTCAACGAAGGCGAAGAGTCGTTTTGGTCGTTGAAATCTGCGGTCTATCAATGGAAATTTTATTTCTAATATAAAATATATTGGATTTTTTGTTACAATATATTAAAAGGCGGCACAAAGTTGGGCATTGGATTATTTAAATATTGGAATCGCCAAAGGACATTTTATATACAAAGTACAAAGACAGACGAAAGACTATGCGAGAAAGACTGTACCGTTTATAATTGTACAAATCTACAAAAATTGTGAGTGATGTCTTGAATCTGTCAATTACAAATGACAAAACCCTGATCGTGTTTGTGTAGTTTTTTCAATGTAAGAGACTCCATACCATACATAATATTATAAATATAGTATATTATAAAATATAAATTGACATACTTTATTGATTTTATATCAATTTCATCAAAGGCTCTTAATTTAATTTAAGTTATGTAAAGATTATATTTTATATTAAATGTATTTAATAATGACAAATTATTTTTATAGTGATGGAGGTGTGTGGGTGCCAGTGTGCATGTCAGCATGTGTATGGGGGGCAAAGGCATCGGGAATTCCCTGACAAGGAATATCATGTTCCCAACTGACCGGGGGGGGGGTGCTATAATCGTTCAAGCAGTAAAATTATTGTTTTGTATGTTCTATTATAAACTTTCGTAAACTTCGTGCTCGTTTGCTATGATTTGTATTAAACTTCAACCTATATTATTTACATTATACATAAAATGCATGCTTTATACAAAAATTCTCAAACTGTCAATCAAACATGTTCACTTCCGGTGAAGACATGACGTCATTTTCCCTTAATATCAAATGTTTCTCACACTCCCCAGGGTTGACAAGTATGTTGTCAACTAATCCCTATTTAATATCAATAACTTATCAGTGTCAATCAAACATGTTCACTTCCGGTGAAGACATATGACGTCATTTTCCCTTAATATCAAATGTTTCTCACATGTTCAATTTATGTTCATACATTACAAATTTGAATTTATGGGCTCTGAAATGGTGCAGAATTTATTGTCTGTAACAGACAGTGCATTCACAAGCACTACAAAACATGGTCATTACAAAACATAATTTCTTCCAGGTGTATTGGACTTGATTGGGAGGGACTAGAGTTTCCACATACGGGAGCCCCTGCTTATTTTTGCCAAAGTTCTCTTCAAAAGTTTCCACATAGATTTGGTGCTGTTTAGTGGCATGGCCAGCCCAATGATTCAGTCCTGCTATGCAGGTTAAAATATTGCCATGTTTATAAACTATCAACACAATCAATTTTGAAAGAATTGAATAATGATAAGGAATTTAAATTTGCATAGCGGGACCAGATTGTCAGGCTGGCTATGTCACTGGTGCTGTTGACATGAAGTACACCTCAATTTTAAATTTCAAAACTTTCTTCCTGTGCATATGGTGACTAACCAACCTTTGAAATATAAAACCATACCGCAAACCTCCGACTATAAGCCCTGGGCTTATATTCTTTCGTAAGCGATTTTTGATGGGCTTATACAATCGATACAAGGGGGGCTTATACATGTACGATCTTTTGTGTTAGTGTAATAGTGATAAACAAGTGTAGTATTAGTGATAAATAAGTGTTAATCATAGTAATAATAGTGATTAATAGTGGTAATTCGGGTGAGCTTATATTAGGGTGGGCTTATATTTGGAATGAGGTGAGCGTTAGTACATGTGGTGGGCTTAGCTTATACATGGGGGCGGCTTATATTCGGGGGGGAGCTTATATTCGGAGGTTTATGGTAGACTGCAATATTAAAGTGCAGCACTGATGCACCATAAAGCTGTTATTAATTTTTTTATACAGTATCTCCATTAATTTACACACCAAATATTCAGAGGGAATTGTAAGAATAAATCAATATTTTTATCATTGAGAGAATATTTTTTATTTTGTTTTGAAACATTTTTTTCAGGTTAACAGATTTAAGACCTAGCTAATTGTTCTACATTGTGTTTTTATGCAGACTTTCACAAAGTAGTTTCATTGTCTAGTGTTTATTTCATGTGAGATACATTTCTTAAAATTCAACCAGCCCTGGAGCCATATCTATAATATGTAAATATATACGTATCGTGATATAGGCAAATGTTGTTTACAGCATGTAAGAAGCTTTTGCATAGTATGCAATAATAACTGTATGATTACAGAATGACTCGGCAAAAAATGCATTTTGGCCCAAAAAGGCTGACGATATGTAGTAATAATGATAGTCAAGGATGGAAAATATTAAATCACCCAAAATATGAACTGAGGTTATAATTATGCTGTATGCTTTAGAATAGGCCTCTTGCTATGAACAGGCCGTGGCGAACGTTTGTAGGTCATACAACTACCTGAAAAATACAAAAAAATCTGAAACTGCTAGTAAATCTGACTGAAAAAGCTACAAAAGGATTTTCCCCGGTCCGTCATGCATATACATGCATCATGGGTGGCCATGCAATATGGCCAAGCTTATGCACGCACGATTATTATCATCGGGAAGATGTTTTGCATAAGTTTTTAACTACAATTTTGTACTTGCTGCAGGAGATTTAGCAATTTAAATTCAAAACTCGTGCGCCACATTTAGTCTTCATATTTTTTACGAAATGTCAAATGCCGTTTGTAATTGACATTGCATGCATGAAATGCCACTTTCGGAATTTGAAAAGGTCGGAACTAGTTGAAAAAAAATGCGTATGTTTTTTTAATACTCATTGTTCAGTGAATAAAAAACCAGGTGTCCTTGCCATAACAAGGCCAGTGTCAATATTTCTTTGCTGCGTTATGGCAGAAATAACTCCACGGAAAAAAGTAACCAAGAATATTATATATGCTTGTCGTTGTTGCAATGTAGATACAAACACACACGAGATTCGTTTTAACTTGTTTGGACAGAAGTCTTTAAATGAAGGCTTAGTCGATGCTATAAAGCAACTTTCTGGTATTGCGGTGTCTGGAGACGACGAATTATCACATTATATTTGCCGAACCTGTGCTCGGAATATTCCAATCCTTAATAAAAAGGTCACCGAGTTTAAGAAAAAATGCGCGGAAACTGCTAAGGCTCAAAGAGAACAGTTTTGTTCAATACGCGAAAAGCGCGGACGAAAGGACGATTTGGCAGAAACTGAAAAATCACCTCTACCTCAGCAGGCAAGGAAAAGAACATTTGTGGAAAAGCGTGTTGCGCATACCAGTTTAGAAGAACGTTTTAGTAGAATCGCCCCTAAACCAGGGCCATTGTCGTTACCGGCCCCTTTACCAACGTTCACAACCATCTACGATCTACTTGGTGAAGATCAAGTTCCACATGCAAACGCGCAACCTAAGCAACACCACTCTACGCTGCCACAACAACTACCTCTGGCCGAAGGGCTCGCAATTATTTCCGAAAGTGGTCTATTAGGAATTAAGGTATGCTTCAAATTTTCCATGCCATGATAACCTTGGCCGCCGTATATGATATATGCTTTTACGGAGTATAGGATATATAAAGCTTAAGTAACATATATAAAATTAATAGTTCTAATCCAGACTGTAGCAAGTTATAACTACCAGTAAATTATATTTGTCTATAACAGGATAAGGGAACGGTGACATTATCTTCATCCCAGAAACAAAAACTACTGGACGAGATTATCAAGGGCTCTCCGACCTATTTGGCAAAGGCAGTTGTGGCCGTAGCTCCAGTAAAGAATTGCGTGTTCGAACTGTTTTTGAAAAGCATTAACGAACAGTGCCAAAAGCTTTGCGTAAGGTCTAAAGGAAATCCATCCGTGCTACGTGTGACCCGAAAAGATCACAAAAGCATCAACACCTTTCAATGGATTGACATTTTGAAAGAAATGAAAGAAAGGGCGCCTAATGTACTGGATGTTTTGGCAACGATTGCTGTTCCAAAGGTAAAAGAAAATGGTTCTCAACTTCCTCCGTTATGTATGGCAATGGGAATTCTGATGAATACCAGATTCAAGGAATTGTCCTTGGTACAAAAACTGACGTCAGTTACCCTTGGTGTAGGGGGAGCAACTGAGAAGGTAAGACGTTATTGAGTTTCTCACTCATTGGTGAGGGGATTTCCCAACAGGCTGTTGCCCAGTTGATAATGGATCCGATGTTGGTAGGAAAAATAAGGAAGTCTAATATCTCAGAAGTAATTATGTAGATAAAATTTGGCACAATTATGGTATCCATAAGAGCACATAAGGTGCATGGCTCTATACAATTTCTTGAAAATTGTAAAACACATATTTCAGACCCTAAATCTTGTAGATTGATTATTCGTTTGAAAGATGAAACTAACAGACTTGTATACAGCAAGATTTGGGGAATCTGAGGCCCTTACAAAAAAGTGCGTTACTGGCGTTGCTATGGCAACAATTTAAGTTTTCTTTTAATATTAGTAGTCATTAAGACAATTTAAAAAAATTCTATCGATCCAAAAAAATATATTAAGAATAATCATATCTTCTTCGTTTGAAAAAGGTTGGATCGACATAATTTTTTTTTAAATTGTCCTAATGACTACAAATAGAAATTGGGGATTACCAAAGTTTTTTGTTACAAAAAAAGTCAGGAGTAATAAACATTTTGTTACAAAATATATCGTATCTAAAGCTCCTCATTTATAACCACTCAGCTATATAAGGTACAAATAACGTAATTGCAAACAACTATATTTACCTAATTTTGTAATGTCCAAAAAATATGTTATTTGAATGAATGTTTTATATCTCGCAAAATTCAATGATGCATTTTAGTGTTTATATTCTGGTCTATGACAACTTTGATTTGTTGTAATCGAACGTTTATAAACGCATACTGCATGGCCATGGGACTACTTTATTAGTTGAGGGAATCTTTTACATTATAGTACGTAATTGTATTTTGATACCATAGACATTCCAAAGGTTGAAAAAGCTGGGAATATGCCAAACCAGACCAAGTTATCGCAATCTCATTGATGACCTGGGTGGTAACTTGAAGCAAGATATACGAGACCTTTTGAAAACCGAAGGAAGACCTCGGATCGTGTTTGATAATTTCGATTTTAAGATCCTCGCCAACATTATCCTCCCTAACCACCGTAACTCGGACATGCACTGGATAGCACATTTCCTAACCTTCGATCGAATACCCTCCGACCATCTTGATGACACCAAACCCTTAGTCTCCGATATGAAATTGTTTGAAAATAAAGAATATCTGTTAGATGACGAAGAGCTCAATAAGATGAGGGCAGACTTTTCTATTTTGGTTTTGAGAGTCCTCGTGCAATTCTTTCCCTGTTTGAAAGATGTGAAGGACGAAGTCATTCAACATATTCCACACAGGTAAATTAAATCTCGTTTCTCTTCTTATTTGCCTTGTACATAATACACAAAAAACTAACATACAGGCTGTTAAATTTAGTGTCTCTTCCATATAAACAGAAAAAATTCCCTTAATTAAACGTTTTCAGTTTAACATAAAATGTCTGTTAGATTTTTAACTAGTTTTATTGAATTTTTTAATATCGAAATGGGTACAATACAAATAATGGATGTTTGTGAATTCAATGGTAAGAATATTTCATGAGGCGAAGGTTGGAGCATTCCATAAAAATTTAAACTAATGTTATTCCGAAAAAATTGTGCATTTTGACAACACATTTATATTAAAAACGGTATATTTCGATTGATCTTTCGATTCATCACCGTGTATTTTAAAGATATGACGTATAACTATAAAAGAACATGTGCTTCATTGCATGGTCAGTGATTCATTATCACGTGCATAAAAATGTCATAAAATAGAAAGTAAATTTCAATGGACCTTTCCGGTAATTCAACTTAGGACCACCTTAAATGGAATGGATTTTAAGTTTGTTTCTCACAGGATATGGCCATGCAGAGGAGCAGAACATTCTTCTTCAATACGTGCATCAAAAATAATTTTTGATTTTGGTCAATAGATGTGGAAATAAGCTAAAACACGAAAACGAGGTTGAGGGGCCAACAGGGGTCATTTTAAGTTTTTTTTTCTCCATATTTAATAGTCAGAGTCCAAAATTCGTTTTTTTGCACGTCTTGACCAAGGATGTTCTGCTTCTCTGACCACAGCCCGTGAGAAACAAACTTGTAATCTATTCCATTTAAGGTGGTCCTAAGTTGAAAAGAGTGCAATTGTGACGTAATTACCGGAAAGGTTTATTAAATGTCACAATATAATTAAACAATTTAAGGTTATTTTCTGTACATTTTTAGATTCGCAGAGGAAATGTCAAAAAAGTCAGTGGTAGTGGGACTTCCTATAGTTCCATACAACCAGAACAAGCAATCTGATGTCTGCAAGTATCTAGAATACGTGCAGGACTTTTGCACTGATATTTTTAAACCCGAAGAGGAGAGTCATTCAGAATCCCATCAAGAAGATCCGTTGGTCAAACTTCATAACAAAGAAAGAACACTTAAAGGAATCAGTGTGCCTTTGGGTGGCGATTTGCTTGGTCGAGAGAGAGTGTCTGGCGCGAAGAGGGCAAGACTGGGTTGCGATCATCGGATTGAAAGATTTGAGTACATCGTTGAGAATGTTGCACAATGGCATACCAAACAGTCATTCCTTGGGGTATGTTATAGAGCTGTTTACACTTGCAATTTTTGTTGCGATTTCTAGTGCGATATTCCTCTTATGATGGATGTGAACGAGTAAATAAGTTATGAATGTTCTGAATATATGTACTCTCATCTACACATTCCTAACTTTATCTACTCGTTCACATACATCATGCAGGAGACGAAAATCGCATCTAAAATCGCAGCAAAAACTGCAAGTGTAAATGGGCCTTAAAATTTTAAACTTGTCGTATTTGATAATTTTTGTAAAAGGTTAACATGATAGCGAGATATAAGTCACTTTGTCTGAAATATACAGCATGAGCATGCAGCGGTATGATGTCTGTGAGAACGAGAAAGAAATTCCGCTCATGAAGGAGGAAGTTTATGCAAACCAAGGGAAACTTTTATGCAAGCACAACAACGTACTTTTGATTTATTTTGAATTATCTGCATGCACGCTAATTTATGAAGGTTCCGCATATCAATTTGTATGCGTAAAGCCCCGAGTGCATGAACGACTACGCACAATAATATAGCTATCCCCACCTAGAGTAAATCAAGTTCGCTGGTAAGTTCTCAATGGTTTAAAAGGCATTATTCGTTGCCATAATTGCATGTATTATAAAATGCATCTTTTCGTTTACAGTATGTATGGGAACAATTATTCCGCGCCGATGCGGTTTCAGGAAGAGAACAAGGCACATTATATAATTTGCGACAACAATTCCGTCTCACCAACGTCTATACAAAGGTAAAAAAGAATTACAAGAGTGCGGAACACCTTATGTTGTCGGCGACGAAAGCATATCTGTGCGAAGCTTTTATGACATGGGCGGGGTTGGATAAGCTCGATGGAACACCCACAAAAATAAGCGTGCCTTCAAGCGATAGCTCGGACGAGGAAAAGAAATCCTTCCTTACTGCCACGATTGGTGAATTCGTAGATCTGTACGTTCTAACCGAGTTTGATGTCGAGAAGAGACAAAGAGAAGAGGTGGAAAAAAGAAAGAAGGAACTAGGAAAAGAGACCACATCCCTTCGACAACTGAAAAACGGCAAGTATATATAGAAAGCGTAAATTATTATGACATACATGCAACGGCAAAATGTCTTGTTATAAAAGATTAAAGAGACCGAGTTAGTTAATAGTTAGTTTGTTTGAATAGCATATATATTGATTTTGCATTCAATTATTCAAAATGCATTTATTGTATCTTACGAATAGGTCAAACTGTTATGATGGTTCAGCCGATCGGACAGCAGATGCACATACTTGGCACTGGAACGATAGACGATCCAGCAATAACGCCAGATTCGAGCCACGTTCAGTTAAGAGTAGCATCCATGAGCAATGTCGCATCATCATTAGCAAGCGTAGGACAACTTGTCCGGTGGCCTCGAATTAATTTGGCAGTTGTGCAACATCCTCCAGATACAACTACAGTGGGCGAAAGCGATAGTGAGAGCGAGAGTGAAGAAAACCATGATTCGCATGATGAAGACGGCGTAATGAACTACGCACTCCAAGTTATTCAGTTAGGCGTGCTTCTTATGCAGCTGAATGACACAGAAAAAGAAGGCGATGGAGAACGGTGTCTGATGAATTGGAAGCTCCTTATGCTATATTTCAGAGCGAGGAAACGAGGGATGAAATATGCTTTTGAAGCAATGCGCCTCATAACATTCACCAAGGCTATCCTTACCGAGCGGCAGGCTCATCGAGTTATACACGGACAATTTGTAAACACTAAAGGCGGGGTTGGAAATAATATAGCGAATGACCTTAAGATGGAAACGATGGTGAAAGACCATAAAAAAGTCTTAAGAGGATTATGTGGCAACAAAACACTTAAGGCAATTCAGAGGGCAACTAGTGCATCGCATGGGTTGAAGACCATAACGAAAGCAATCGACCACGAAAGTAATGTACCACCAGATTCAACACATCACACGCATGCAAGCACAGAAGAGTTGGTGAAAGAAATGGTGAAAATATTACGAAAAATAAATCCCTTTGACCGTCGTCCTGGAAGAAAATTTGTATCATTTATGAATATACCGAAGAGCCCATTAAGCAAATTAAACGTCAAGGCATTTCACAAATGGCTCACATCAAACAAAAAGAGATTGGCTGATGATGCTTTCGCTATGTTAGATGAGGTAGATGGTGATGACGAAATTGATGATGAAGATACGGACGATGAAGATGATAATGAAGATACAGACTTGGAAGTGGAAGATGAGGCTACATACAGAGTAGAGACAACACATTTATCTTAAAATACAAGTGATAGATTTGTAGGTTTTAATACACGAACAGTAAATTTATTTGGTAAAAAAAGTATTCACATTTAAAATTATTGTAGATATAGTTCAGTCACATTCCTTGATGGCACATCCGTTGACGAATTCTTAAAACAGGCCCTAGGATCGGTCTTTTTTATATAGTGGAGAGTGAGATACTGAAAAATACACAGTGAGATATTTCCATATCTTCACTAGTGAAAATATCGATCACGTGACTTTTCCCAATTTGCTTTTGAGCGTGAAATTTCACAATTTTTTGCTTGTGACTATATAATAAACAGAACATTACACGGTGGCTTGAAGATATGATTTTTATCTTCTCGTGTTAAAAACAATATTTTACTCACTCGCTGCGCTCGTTCGTAAAGGATTGTTTTCACCACTCGAAGATAAAACTCATACATTCGCGCAGCCGTTTGATATATTCTATTTATAATACGATTGGATTAAAATTTATTTTAAGAATGAAATTATTTTTTTTACAAATGTGTCCCCCAGGATAATACTAGATCAGCTAGTAGATAGTGTCTCATACTGGCAGAACGACAGTTTTACGAATGGCCAACGCTATTTATGTTTTGTGTTTTTTTAAACATTAAACTTGGAAACGTGGAATGCAAAACTAATTATCTTTACAAATGAACCTTTTTATTTATGCAATCCTTTTCATTTATGCAATCCTTTTCATTATTGTATCAAATGAATCATTCTTTATTAAAAACAAAGCAGCCAAAGAATGTATTGGAAGTTTAAATTGGACGAGATGAAAAAACAAATTTTTTAGCAGTTGCATGTATCTATAGTTTTGTAACGAAGTGTATCTTGTAGGTAGATTTAAGGCCCGTTCGCATGCATGCACAAGCGATTAATGTGAGCGCCACATGTGTAATGTATATTCAGTCTATAAACTGTCAGTGGTTAATTTAACAGAATTTTTAAAATCCTTATAAATATGAGCATTTTCTATTCACTACGTATGTGGGTGAGGACACTATTCATGGAAATATAATTATAAGGGACACTATATACTAGCAGATAGTATCCAGGGGACGTTATCTCTGGGGTTGAGGGAGTGACACTGCCACACCGACCAGCAATACCTGACTATACATTCCAGGCGTATGATGTGAAAAATATGGTGAATTAGGTAGTTTAACTATTGTCTACTTTGTATTATTCAACAGGTATTATTCAACTGTCTATTGACAGTTTTCACATTGTAAGTCTTCAAGTATTTTAAAAATTGAAACAGCATGATCTGTGTTAAATAAAGGCAATTGATTGCATATATCATCTACTGACTTAAAGTTATTAGCATTCTCAACAATTTCCTCAAGAAGTTCCGTACTAAAACCTGTGCAAAGACTTACACTTCCAACACAACTTCTTCCCGATCCATGCAAGCTTTGCCTAAAATCAACAAGCCTTTCTCTCAATAACGTTTTCTTATCCATACTTAGCTGAGGAGTAACTTGTGCCAATTCAGATGAAGACACCTCTTCTTCCTGCCTTTCCTGGTCATCAGAGCAGAACAATTCCTCTAAAATTTCTGATGTTGCATGTAACAAACATTCATCACATTCACATGTTTTAGCATGAACATCACAGCATGTATGTTCTGGCACATAATTTGATACAGAGTGTCCAAAATAGGATAGCAGTTTTTCTCGCTTGCAAACACCAGACGATACATAGTCAACCATATCCTTGGACACATTGCGCCTTGGTGAAATGTCATGGTTATTATAATAGATCACAGATGATGCGGGTAGCCCATCTCTACCACAGCGGCCTGCTTCTTGAAAAAATTCCTCTACAGTATGCGGAACCCCAATGTGGATGATGCGTCGGATGTTCTATTATTATTATTATTATTAAATTGAAACCACATTGCAGCCAGAAGCTGAATTGCGTGGATTACATATTATCACATGCACTACATATAAATATATTATTAATACAATATTATAAAAACCCACCCACGATCAAAATTCGATTAAAATAAGCATAAAATCTATCCTACAAACTTCCTACACATAGCAAGGATAAAAGAGTTATAAAAGCGGTTCGTGCGTGTAACGTACATATTAAAATACCGATTCGTCCTGAAAGAATAATCAGTCTCGTTCTTCGGGGGCAGCAGATGATGAAGTTTATGCATTGGATCCTTGATGATACTCGTAAAGAGTTTGTCACACATGTCCTCTCTTCTTTGAAATAGAGTAGGCAGTCTATAATACTCAAGGGCCTCACAATATGTCATTTCAGGAGATAAAATTTTTAGCACACGTTTCTGGACAGTCTCAAGTTCGTCTGCCAAATACTTTGGGATGGAATGATGGAAGGCTTGCGCACAATACTCGAGCACAGGCCTGATCACTGTACAATAAAAGTTCAAGACATCGTTGACATTTACGCTTGCCCGTTTCAATAGTACTATAAAATAGAGGCGTTTATTAGCTTTCTTTATACTCTCTCTGATGTTATCTTTCCACTGAAGTGTGCCTGTCATAACAAGACCCAATATTTTTGCACTCTCAACTATAGGCAATGCTTCTCCACCCACCAGTACAGGATCAAAATGTTGTTTAATTCTTTTAAAATCGATTCTCAGTTCTTTACATTTCTCAGTGTTAAGAGATAGCCCATTTGCCTTCGACCAATCTTCCAATATCAATACCAATACCAAATGCTACTGTTACAAATAGAATTCGAAGTTTGGATGTCCCAGCAACAAGTTCAGTCACAATACGTTCTCGCTCATGTTCAGGATACTCTGCATGGAACTGGGTAAACATCCTGTTTGTTGCGTTTGGACAAGACCCAAGTGGCTCATACTGCAATGGACCCAAAATGTTCCTAGCTATAACATAGCACTCTGAAATTGTGGCCAAGTTGCCATATATCACTGTAAGAGGAAAGTTTAGCCTCTTTTCCTTTAATTCATTAACCAGTGGTTCTAAAATGGCTTTCAATTTACCTTCACCTTTAGCTGACCGTTCCTTTGATTCAAAAAAGATGTTTGATCTGTCTGGATTTGACTCGATAATGACATGATTACGCATTCCAAGGCTTGAAGCAATTTCTTTCTTTCTCTGCATTGTCGCTGTGGCTGTCAATGCCAAGATTGGAACATCAGGAAACAAACTTCCCAACATACCAATCCTTCCGTAGCAAGGCCTGAAATCCTTCCTAAAGTGGTAATACAATATTTATAAATTAAAACAAACTTTAGCCAAAAATTTTAGGCCAATAATCATAATTGGACAACAACAACATGGATAATTTTATGATTGAAAATTGCTGGCAAGAAAAAAATATAAGACAACAGAATACATCATTCAAGCTACATAGTGTGCTGTATTATACTGTACAAGACACTAACTTATATAGTCATACATAAGTTAGTGTCATCTACAGTTAGTATCATGTACATCCAACAAAAGATTGTTGCTAGGATGGTGATACTAAGATTATAGGTTATAGGATATGGGGATACTAAAATTAAGGTGGGGGTGGGATTCACATAATATTACAGGGTTTTTTAGTCTTTGTCTCTGGTCTAAATGCCACATTTTACATGTGCCAAAATCTAATTTGAATTTACATGGTTTAAGTGTTTGACTGAAATAATAAGTTAGACATTTTGATTTAAATGTTGAATTTATGTAAGATGTAAATTTTCTAGTGAACATATGTACGTTATACATTTGTCCAAAGTAATTACTTTGCAATTATACTAATTATTTGACACACATTAAATGAAACATTTAAGTCAAATATTTGACAGATGTCGCACTTAACCATGTCAACCCATCGATCGCCAGCACTCTCCCTTGATGAGCAAAATCGTCTGGCATTCAACAGAGTAAGACAGCAAAGTACCTGCCTCATACCCAGGTGCTTTAAATATAATACATGAAGTATTAGACAGGCAGGCGACACGCAAAGGGGGTTCTAAGGTTCTTCCCATCAGCCCCTTTCTCTTTCTGTCTCCACTACAATACTTCATGTAAACTCAGCATATGCGCGTCGCTGGTTTTTTTAACAAAGAGACGCCTGGGTACCAGGAAGGCAAAGTACATTGCCACTTAAAAGGTTAATTAATGTGATGGATAGGCAGATAGTCTGGTTAACCCATTGAACAGTACACTCTCGCCCACAATAATCTGGCGATAAGCCGGGTGTTGAACAAACTTTCCTAGACTTGGCACATGTAAAATTCAGCATTTAGACTGGATGTAAAACAGAGTATATGTTGAGCATTTTTATAAGTGAAGGAAATAATTATTTGATATTGAAAAACAACCAAATATCCCACTCACCATTCAGTAACAAGATGGGCTTCGTCCACAACAATCGCTTTTAAATTTTCTTTATATTTCTTTGATTTTAACAAATATTGAAAAACTTTCTTGTCCTCCAACAAAGCTTCTGCATGCGCAAATATGATCTTACTGGGATTGGTGTCCGTATGCAATGATTCTCCCAAACCATACATTATATCCTTTGATTCATCAACATGAACCGCTTTCATGATTGATACATTTACGTGATCTTTTAGTTTGCTAATTTGATCAATCATTAAAGCGTTTAATGGTGAAATAACCAGAACAAAACTTGAAGATGAAGATAAATCATTGTCTTCGCCACGTACGTGGATAAAAGTCAAACATGAACGGAAGAAGCTGGTATATTAATGATTTTCCATACCCTGTAGGAAGAACACAGATGGTGTCACTCTTGTTTTTCACAACAGACCATAAAGCTTCATACTGTTTATCTTTAATTTCCAATTCAGCTTTGTTAATTCTGTGGAGTGATTTAGAAAGAGCGACTCGAAACAGGTCATCTTCACACGAAGCCATGTTTCGATTTGACAATGCATATGTAATATGAAACCGAACATGTCATCGGCTCGTCCTACGAGTGTCATATGTAAACAAAACACTATACTATATGTTTGTGTTGGATAAAACACACTGTTAATGTTTGTATTCTATGTAAAACATTATTACTTTCAAGAAATTCTTAAAATTTCACTCCTCGTAAAAAATATGCAGAGTCAGCATTTTATTGGCCGCAAGCGCGTTTACTTCCGGCAAACTACAAGATTTTTGAAGTTCCGGTTTTGGTTTTCGCCAGGGCCTCCGGCAACGAAGTGTCAGCCGTGAGGCCCTGGGACCGAGGATGCCGCGACGTTTGAAATGAGCATAAAAGGTTTGCGACGAAACAAATTAATTTGAGCATGTTCTGTGAATGACTTGCTCAAATACAAGTGATAAATGTTTGTGGTTCGTTCGTTAAAAATTTTATTCTTCAGTTTTATAGTGTTTCATTTGTAAACCAATCACAGAACTTGTTGATGTTGATGAGTTCAAAATAATCGGAAATTTTGTATCCATGTAATAATGCTTATTTGATTGAAACATTATTTAATAACGCTGGAGATACTTTGTGTAAATACTCCCATTTTTGGTCTCACCTCTAACTCCTTATATTTACTCCTTATACTTTTCTTTTTACTAGCGATTGACTCATTTACATATAGCCTGCTTATAACCATACTTCTATTAATAACGTGAACACTAAATGTCAACAATACCGTCTAAAAACGTAATTACATGCATGCAGAGTACAAATCATATTGAGTTCTCGGAATCGATAAGTTGATAACCAACGCCATATTGCCACGTACCTAGAATAATCCTCGCCGCGAATTTTGTCGAATTTTATATTAACGAAAACGTCTTTCAATTTCCCATTCTTTGTTAAAAGTATTTATCAGAAAGAAGTGTATTTATTTAATTCTTATAAGAACAAGCCTACTAAAAGGAGAAGGAATAATTAATGGTGTAGCACACAATTCTTGATCACTTACGTAAGCTTGCTTCCTTGCCTGATCACTTGTAAACTCATCAAGATCCATACACACCGGACACGATTCGACAATGGGACGCGATTTTTCGATTTTCACTGAACGATAACTTTGAACCTAGTTTAAATTTTCCAAATATTTAGAAGCGTTACAACATTTTGAATTATTTGGTATACATATCTTTTAAAATTTGCTTTTATTGGCTGTTTTATTGACTTTCAAATACTAAAAAATCGCGTCGAGTTGTCGAATCGTGCATACCCGGTGTGTATGGACCTTAATGCATTTCTGGTATTTTTTTAAAGAGTTTCAGTAATGAAATCTGTATTTCTCAGGTCCAGGATATATCGTAAAAGACCGGATGAATAAGGAAGACTATGACGAAAAAAAGAAGTTGGATATATAATAATAACGTAGAATGCAGTTGAATAATAAAAATCACAAAGTTACAAGCAGTACAGTAGTTTATCCAATGATATAGATCAGCAAATACGTATACAATAATTCCTTACTGTAATGATATCATAGCTACCTCGAAATCCTTTGTTTCGCGTAGGACGATTAATGACCAATTTACCTCATTGCTAAAACTGATGACGACGATCTTATATTGATACCATTTAATTAAGTATTTAATTATCAAACATGAAAAATCAACCGTAACCTCATTAATTATTAACGAACATCCCATGGTCATTACTATCGAAAAATAAACGCGCCATTTTATTTCAACTTATTCAAACAAATGAAACCGTTTTATTGTCTCGGTATATTGTCTCGGTATATTGTATATAACAACAAAACATAGTGTCTCTATGATATTACAAAGTGATGGCATGGCACTGATAACGGTTGATTAGTAATGAAATTCCCTCAAGCTTCGAGAGGTTTAGTAAAACTCCCTCCGCGCTGCGTGCCTTGGAGCTTTTACTAAACCTCTCTCGGCTATATACATTTAATGCAAAAGTAGATATTCTAAGGAAATATAGTTTTTTGTTTCACATCCAACACCTCATTTAGTCAAAATGTTTCATTTAACATACAGTCGATTCCCTCATTCATATGATATAACCATAGAAGTAATGACTACTATTAAGCCTGCAGCACACGAGAGCTATCTGCTGAGCCAAAAGTTACTCGTGTCTGTTAGCTCAGCCGATAGCTCACCGATCAAACATGTTTGATACGTGAGAAAAGGTTGCATGAGGCAAAAAACTCAGTAAAATGTACCCGCACACGGTGAGCTATCGGCTGAGCTAACAGGCACGAGTAACTTTTTGCTCAGCAGATAGCTCTCGTGTGCTGCAGGCTTTAGTTGACCTGCACCAAAGGACTTAGCATAGCTTATATTCAGTTATGCATGCAGATGTACTTATACGTAAAACACCATGTTGTGATTGGTTGGATCTGTGTATACATGCTAACAACGACTTAAAGCAACTTAAAATGACCTAAAGCGACCTAAGTGAAACTTAAAATAATAGGCAGACTATTTGCATACATATAATGGTAGTGATTTCTTTCTTTATGATACGATATAACAGGTTGTTGGCTACTCCTGCATTGTTGTATATTGACACTCGATAAGAATTTGACTGGCACCCGAATACAGTAATATATTTTCACCGATCGATTTTGTCGACCATTTCATATCGACCATACATGTAGCCTGCGTGCAGTCCCAGACTCCCTGAAAAACGGGCTTAGCGGGCGGTAGCAAGCTTTCGTTCGAAGTTGCGCAGTCCCTACTTCCTTTGGGAGTCCGGGACTGCACGCAGGCTACCATGCATGCAGTTCCCATGGTAAAGAGTAAACTGCCTTGTAACCTGTGATCAGGCCTATAAATTATTATTATTTAAGAATATTTAAACACGGTAGCCTATATATATATATATATATATATATATATATATATATATATATATATATATATATATATATATATATATATATATATATATATATATATATATATATATATATATATAAAAAGCCATTTAAATAAGTTAATCACTAACATGCATATTGACGTTTCGACTTTATTGTCTTCTTCCAAGTAAAAATCGTTAACATAAACCCCTACTTATATACCCTACCAGACGAACATAATTATTCATACTCCTCAGAATCCTGTTCAATGTTCAACCCCGAGGGGTACATTGTCATAAGTCTATTAATCCAGTATAT